AACTAATTAATGATTTGATTAGTGTAATGATTTATTTGTTGGGTTGTTGTTTATCAATGATTTGGGGGTGTTTAATTAATTAATTAATGATCAGTCGACAAGGAATCAATGAGTCATCACTTTATGACTTGAATAATCTTGTAATTATTATAGGCAAAGTTTAATCCTAGGTAGTATTGGTACCAATTATTGCCAAATTTATTGTCCTAAACCAAAATGAAAGGGACTACTAACTCACAGCTGTTCTTTCGAATTTATGGGTTAGATTTCGTCTACACATTCCATTGCTGATCACACGACTTATTTTCGTTGTTGACAACGTGTTTCTTCTGTGTTACACTTGGTAAATTTCACTAATTTATATTATTATACGCAAATAATATACTAGCTAACATATACAGTATACGCAAATCATATTGATTTCGGTAACTAAAATTTTCTCTCTCGTAATGAGTTTAGTAGCAAATAAGAACATGCAAGTGTGAGCAAATTATGTATGAATTGAACTTAATAATGAAACAAAAACGATCACTAGTGGAGTCAGAATTTTAAGTCAGAAGGACTGAATGCAGTAAAAGAATTTTAAGAATGCTATTGTACACCGAAATTTTTGAAATATCTTATACAATTAATAGCGAAGGCGAATTTGGGTCACGGCCTCTGTGGCGGCGCAAGTTGAGGCTTCTGTTATCATGCGTTGGAGCGCATCCTCGGTTATTTGAGCTGTTCGGGGAGCAGGGAGTGGCGGATCGACAAGTGGTGGGTCCCGAGGGGGGATCACCTAAACCTCGCGAGGCGGATCCGGAACACGTGGAGGAGGTGGCAAGCTAGAGCCTCCGCGGGTTGGGAGGTTATTAACAGTGTCATTTTCTCGCCGAGCGGATGCCTCAGGAGGATCTTGCTGGCTACGTGATCTGGTTTGCATCGTTCCCACAGACGGCGCCAAAATGATGATGCTAATTTCTTAGATCACCTGGGGTAGTGTATAAAACGAACTGAGAGAGCAAAGCAAATTAGTAGCTTGACAACTTGATGATTCTGAGGTCCCTGCGAAATGAGCACACGTGAATTAAGATGGGAGTTGATCCGGGGGAAACCCTTCCGACGCTCAAGTCAGATGTACGGATCGTGGAAATGGTAGAGAGAATAAAATTCTAGCTTGCTTGTGAATATCAGAACGTACCTTAACAAATGAGTGAAAACCTCTATTTATATATCGTTGAATGTGTTGGGTTTACTTAATTGGGCCCAAGTCTCAATTTGAAGGTGACTGGACTTTTGATAATGGGCCCAATTATTAGACAAATTAAGGGGCCTATTGGATCGGCCCAATTAGGTATATCAGTATTGTACACTGAAATTTTAAAAATCTCTTATACAATTAATAGCTATTTAGTTGATTGTATTTCCATGTTACTTAATTGTTGAGTTTGACAATGATTAATGTTGGGAGGTTACATACTCAATAAAAACAAATTTAATATTTGTCTATATGTTATATAGATACCTAAATATTTTGAGGTTGACAGATGTCTGATAAATTAATTATCAAATACCCTTATTAATTAAATATAATTAGTCCGCCTAAAAACGTGCTAAAATAAGCCCATCAAATTGGGTCCAAAAAGGTTTCTCCTAGCGGGCAAATGGGCCGGGCTGGGCCGGGCCTAGAACTTCCTTATCCAGTCAATGAAATTGGACCCAACAAGGATTATAAACTTTAATTTAATACTAAATTAAAGCTGAAGAGAAAAGAATATTGTAGATATAAATTACTACGTAAAATATCAGCGATTATAGGATAAATTACAACCGCACCCCTGAAATAAGATTTATTTACAAAAAAATCCCTTATTTTCCATACTTACTTACATCCCCTTTCTTGTAATATTAGATTTCTTAAGTTAACACCCTTTAACATGGGTGTGTATGTAAGAACTTTACAAAATGAAGGGGCTGAATGTAATTTTTAAAAAAGATAGATTTTTTCACTTATATCGCATAAAAGAACAGAGAAAAAAAGGATGAAGACGAAAAGACAACAGTACGTAATCATTGCAAACTCCCTCGAAACTCGCAGTAAAAATTATTTGGCGGTTAAAAATTCGATGTATCTCAGAAAAAAAAAAAAATCATTATTAAATATCAAAATCGTTTAAAATAAATAAATAAAAGAAAAGAAATGATTCTCAACCTTTTCATTTGCTTCCTCGATCCATGAAAAGCCATTTTACACACCTCCAAAAAAAATTTAACTGTGTATATGAACTGGGTTTAGTTTAGTTCTGAGTTTCTCTCTTCAGCTTTGATTCCGACAAAGGCGGAAGAGTAAAAAGTGTGAAAGAAAAAAAATATATATATAAAATGGGTGTGCCTTCGTTTTACCGGTGGTTGGTAGAAAAATATCCAAAAATAGTAAACGACGCCGTATTGGAGGAGATGAATGTTGAGTGTAGTACGAAGAACCCTAACGGAACGGAGTTTGACAATTTATATCTCGACATGAACGGAATTATCCACCCTTGTTTTCACCCTGAAGATGATGTAATTAATCTCTTAATTACCCTTCCTTAATTATTTTTTATGTTTCTATATTGTTAACTACTGTGCATGTATGTTCATGTTTATGTATACGTAAATTTCTAGTGATATATATGCTCTTATTTTTCCTTTAATTATATTTTCATTTGAATTAATCTAAATTTGCCCCAGGTTTCTAATTTTTCTAATTTTAATTTTCGAATTTTTGATGTTCTGGTTTCTACTCCAACAACGTTTGAAGAAGTATTTAATAAAATATATGAATATATAGATCGACTTTTCAAAATAGTCAGACCAAGAAAATTGCTGTTCTTGGCCATAGGTATATATGATGTGTTTCTCTCTCTAGCTTCATCTTCTCTCTCTAGTTCTATTTCTTGATGTTGTTGTAGTAATAATTGTTGTAATGAAAAAAAATAAATATACATATATAATTTGTCATGAATTCCAGATGGTGTAGCTCCCCGTGCCAAAATGAATCAGCAACGGGCTAGGCGATTTCGTACTGCGAAAGACACTCAATTCGCCGTAAAATTCAACTTCAATTTATATAATTACATAATTTTATTTTTATTTTTTATTATCTAAATTAATGTTGAATTTAATTTGCAATGTGATTTTAATTTTGATTTAAAGGAGGAAATGGAGGAGAAGTTTAGAAAACAGTTTGAAAAAGAAGGGAAAGCCGTTTTGCCTAAAGAAGAATCGCAGCTCTCCGATTCGAATGTTATTACACCTGGAACTGTATTTATGCACATTCTCTCCGACAAACTTCGAACCTACATTACTTGTCGAATGAGCGAAAATCCAGCTTGGACAAACATTAAGGTTTGTCTTAGGAATTATTTAATAATTTTGTTTTAATTCACATAATTACACGAAATTTTCGACTTAATTTTTAATATATATATAATTTGCAGGTAATTTTGTCGGATGATAATGTTCCCGGTGAGGGAGAACACAAAATAATGTCGTTCATTAGAGCACAACGCTCGTCGCCTGGATATGATCCAAATATGAGACACTGTCTGTATGGACTGGTACTATAGATTGGGAATCCTAATTAATTGTTACTTTTTAAATTTATTTTTTTCCTCGATTACGTGCTCTTAGTTTAGATGAAATTAATTTTAAATTTAATGCAGGATGCCGACTTGATTATGCTTGCATTGGCCACACATGAAATCCATTTTTCGATTCTCAGAGAGGTTTGCATACAGAATTTTCATTTACGGAAGCTTTGATATTTATTACAATACTTTATTTCCCGTGTTTCGCATAAAAAAAAAGTAAATCATAATTATTAATGCCTCGTTTTCGACAGGAGATCCTGGCTAAAAACTCTGGTTATGGATTGTCTATTGAATCGACGACACATAGAGCCGATACACATTCCTTAAAATCGAGGGGATGGTTTAAGGAGGTATATATTTTTGGAAGTGTTCCTAAACACCTTTTCGTATATATAAGACAAGCGCCGATTGATGAATATGGCCTTTCTTCTATAGTTAAACCTCTATAAATTAATACAGTTGGTACTAGGAAAATTCTATTAATTTTGCGAATTATTAAACTATCGAGTTAATAATTTTACATGTTTTCACCGAGTTGGGACCGAGAGAAACTATTATTTAATCGAGGTTGTACTGTATATTCAAATATAATTTACGTACCATTTTCGACTATAATGTGTATTAATTCTCGATACTCTTTGAATTAATAGCGTCCATGGCAGAACTCTAGCATCGAGGCGGGTATTGAATTAGAGAAATCGGAAATGTGTAAGGAAGAACCTTGGATTGTTAACAAAAAGCAAAAATATCAGGTACGCGTTACATGTAATTTATATTATTAATTAACATACTTATATGTTGCAATTTCTTTTTGATTTATTTTATATTATTTTCTGTTTGCAGTTTCTTAATGTGTGGATACTGAGGGAGTATTTGGCTTTGGATATGAAAATTCCAACTTCCGACAAATTCGAATACGATCTCGAGAGAGTTATCGACGATTTCATCTTTATTTGTTTCTTTGCCGGGAATGATTTTCTTCCGCATATGCCTACGCTCGAAATCCATGAGGTTAGTGAATCCAACAAATTTATGCAATATAATATTCTGCCCGATTTTTAAAAATACTAAACAAAAATCTTTTAATTAATGTTATAACCATGCAGGGTGGCATAGACTTGCTAATGCATGTTTATAAGCAAGAGTTCGTAAATTTGGGAGGCTACTTAGTCGACATGCAGAGGGTAAATTCTATACATATACATCGACGTATATATATATATATATATATATATATATATATATATATATTGCAGTGATTTTAAATATTGTGTCGTTTTAGTTAATTGTGAAAATTTCGTAATTAGGTACAAGACAAAAAAGGGGGCTACATAAAATTGAAAAGAGTCGAGGCGTTTATACTTGCTGTGGGTGCATTCGAGGAAAAAATCTTCAGCAAAAGAACTAATCTGAGGGAAGGGAAATTACGACGAATATTATCCGATCATCGAAATTCCGTTAGTTTGCTGTTTACTTTTGATGATATATATTTTTTTTACGATGAATTTTTGATTAGGTAACTAAAAGCTGTAAATTATGTTTTATTCAGAAAGACCACGAGAAGAATCAACTTGATGATGGAATATCGTCAGATATCGTGTATTCTTACGACATAGCTAATGTTCATCGAGTATGGTTATATTTATACGTGTATTTTTTTTATACTGAATAATAATATTATTATAAATAATTTACTTTATATTTTGGTTTTGAATAACGGTTTATTTTAGCAGGAATCGGAGTTATCTGCTTCAGCTATAGATGTTGATAGGGTACGCGACTTCGTTCTGAATACTCGTTTTTCAATTATTGTATATTTGTTTTATTTATTTAAATAAATGTAATTTCAGGTTCAAAATAATACAAAAGAGCTGAAGAAGAAGCTGAAAGAATACATCAAAGATCAATCCGATTTGTTCAAAGATGGTTTTCTTGCAACAGATAAAGTTAGTTAACTTTACATTTTGTCCGATTTTTTTATTTTATTTTATTTTTATTATATACCGTTTGACAATAAATGTACACGTGTCTTCTTTTGAATATAGGTGAAACTCGGCAGCCTTGGCTGGAAGGAAAGATATTATAGAGAAAAGTTTTGTGCTCAAACCCTAGAAGAAATCGAAGAAACCAGAAGAAATGTGGTACGTTTAAATGTCGAAATAATTATTTTGCTTAACATAATCAAAGATTAGTTTTTCGACAAGGTTTTTAGTATTGTGTCTGATTAATATCTTTCTTGTTATTAAATTCGAATACTAGGTTGCAAGATACGGCGAAGGGTTATGTTGGGTTTTGCTATACTACTATTCGGGAGTTCCATCATGGACGTGGTATATATATATATATATATATACATATATATAACATATATATATATATATATATATATATATATAACATATATATAGATATAGATATAGCTTTTCTTGCATGTTTTTAAAACATTCGATGCGTTGTTTTTCTTATCATAGGTTTTATCCATATCACTATGGTCCGTTTGCATCTGATTTGAAAGGACTAACACAAATAAATTTGAAGTTTCAAAAAGGTTTGCCTTTCAAACCCTTTGATCAACTGATGGGAGTACTTCCTCCGAGAAGGTAAATTTTATCGATTAATAATCGATTTTCTTTTTTTCATTTTGCTTTCGGAAAATAATTTAATTCTTATGTATTTCGAATGTATCTATATATCTCAACAGTGCTCATGCATTGCCGATTTCATATAAGGAACTCATGGTCGATGAAAATTCCAATATTTTCGACTTTTATCCAATCGGTAATTCATTTTCAAGATTGATTTTTTTTTATAATATTTTTGGATTATTGGATGCATAAATAATTTAATTATCACTAACTTCTCCGAATACGCAGAATTCGAGACAGACACCGATGGGAAGAGGTTCCTGTGGCAGGTAATAAAAATAAATACATTTACAACTTCTAGATATTGCACATAATTAAATTATTTGCTTTATTTATCTTTATTTATTTATCGAAGGGTATAAGCAAGCTTCCTTTCATAGACGAAGGTCGTCTGCTTGTGGAAACTAGGAAACTCGAAAGTGAACTCAAGGTGCAAAATTGTAATTAGAACATTAATAAATATAATCATATGTTGCTTTTTTTTTTTTTTGCAATTTCTGATTATGGATAATGATTAATTTATTCCAATTTTTTTGTAATAAAGGATTACGAGAAAGTGAGGAATTCGCAGACCCTTGATCGGTTGTTTGTGAGCAGAAAGAGTCGAGAAGTTGTTTTGCCATGCGAAACCAGGGCAACCTCGAAGAAAATTGAGGGCGCAATAATGATGGATAGTACTATGTAAGGATATTTTGTATTCATTTATTTTTTTTCATGCTAATAATATATAGATGGAATTAAATATTTTATTATATATTTGATTTAATAAATTTCAGGGAGGGAGTCAAAGGTAATATACACCTGATGCCCGAGGATCTAAGCGAAACAGATTACGGTAACAAGTCGGAATGTACCAGAAATATTATGTAAGCTAAAACAAAGATTTTATTGTAAATTAGTTATATGTTTCTTTTTTTATTCTCGTCTGTTCCTCGTCTTTAATATTTGTCTTTCGATGATCCAGGTCGATGTTCTACGAGTACGAGATACATCACGATTTTCATAACGTCCCTCGCCTTCTAGAAGGTGTCAATATTCCTGAAAGGGTAAGTGTTTTTTTTTTTTTTTTGAATTATTATTATTATTATTATTATTTGACAGACGAAGCAATAAAAAACTGTCCTTATATAATGCATAAACTTTCGTCGAGCTTTTCGCAGACCGTATACGAAGAGGATATCGTAGAAACCATTCTATGGCACGAAATGCGTGGAAACGGTAACAGGTGCGTCAAATTTTATAAAACTCTTAAAATAACAACTTATACATAAATACTAAGACATTCATTTTTCTCAATTAAATGAAAATAATTGTGTGACATACATAATAATATAGGTATCGGAATCATCATAGACCAATAAAACCAGACCATAGATGGGAAAATTCGAGGCCCAAAAACCGTGTCCCCGAGATAACGTCTAAATTTGCTGGTCAAGGATTCAGTTTAGGCAGAGGACAAATATCTCAGGACAAAAGAGGCAATCATGGGCCCGGGCCCGGGCCCGTGTCAACGTACAGGCCCCCACAAGTGAGAAACAATTTCGGGCCGGGCCCGAGTGGTCGGACCTACGGTACGAGTGGAAATTGGAGGATAAATAATCTGCAATCGAGGTCCGACTCTGTTGACAGCTGGCGAAAAGACTATGGACAGAGCTCCAGCGGGCCCCAGTATCCGAATACGGGCACGGGTCGTGGTCGAGGGAGAGGGTGGAATTCGACCAAGACTTCTTGAAAGTCTTGACATAGCCTATAACAAAGAAGCCCGGAAATTTTCGTTTTTTTTTTTTTTTTGTCGTAATTTTGCAATCTTTTTGAACAATGCAGCCTGAAATCGCAAGATAGCACTAAAGTTTTCATCTTGGTTTGTATTTTTGGATCTTAACTTGCTGTTTGTAAAATATCTATGTAAATTATATATATTATATATTTTTTTGTGTGCCTAAATGAATATTTTCTGTTATTGAAAATTAAAAAAATTACAATCAAGAAATCAAATATATTTAACATTTTGCAGATGAAAATAGCATTTAATAAATTAGTGTTCTTTTATCATTAAATCTAGTTCTTCATCTTACGAGCAATACTGCTGCCTGAATCCAAACCGTTCATTCCTAAGATCAAATTCCACATGAAGATTCTGCATCAAGAAATTACCCAGAATCACCGACGGGCCACCGACAAGCTCCGGGCCCAGCAAAGTATCATCGGTCACCGCCGTCAAACAAACAAACGACTTCCCACCGTCGCTCACAGCAATGAAGTAATTTTCCAGCGGCAGCGCCATCTCCGCGCCGGCCTTGAAATGGAGTTTTAGTTCAGGCATTTTCACAGTCACGTGGCCGGCAACGTCAAAGCACGGGCGCAGACCTGTAATCGCCTCCACATCCTCCGGCCTTGTATAATCTTTCACCTGGTCGGAATATGCATACGGCACCAGATCAAACACCGCCTGGTTCATGTAAGTAAACGTCGTCCCTGAATCGACGATGGTCCCGACGTCGCCGTTAGAATCCGGCGACAAATCTTTGTGCAAATTTCAACTTTCTTCCCTCCGAACGGAATTTTCCTCAGACCAACGTAGTAGTAATCCGATAATGCGCTGTTTTCCGACCCCACCGGATTCTTCAGCATCGGCGTGTAGCTGAAATTCTCCGTCTTTGAATCGGAATCCGATTCGGCATCCATCAACAAGAAGCTGCTTTTTTCAGTGTTATCAAATTTGTGCGAAATCAAGCAGTAGGAGAATTTCTTGAGCCCTAATTGGCTCGGCAACGACGAGTTTCCCCGACCGAACCCCGCGACACCCGCGGGCTGATTCGACGAGAAAACGGAGCAGCCCACGAGAAAATCTTCGATTTTCTCGTGCGGCATCGTGAGAGTTTCCGCCATAGCTATCCCACCCGTGGAGCCTAATCCGTAGAGAATTATATACGGTGGACAAATTTGCGTGCAGTTTGTTTTAGTCAACTGACAATCTTGACAACTCGAGTTTGGATCGAATGATTTGTGAACCCAACCGCATTTGGGGTTAGCGCACCCGACAACTTTCGCCGACGATGATTGCTTAGGTATAAACGACGAAATGCTTTTCGTCGAAACGGAGCTGCAGTTTCTGCAGAGGTATCTTTTGGTACAAGGAAACCAAGAAAAGCTGCTGCCGGTGTCCATAACAAAGGGTATGATTTGCGGTGGTGTACCGAAGCCGAGCGAAATCGAGTAAGCTCCACTGAACGGGGATAAAGGTGTGGTGGTGGAGGTAGGGGCATTTTGTGGATTCTTGATATGTTGGGCTCTTGCTATCGAAGTTGTAGCCAAGTGCGTGAGCCTCTTGTATGGATCCGGATGCCGGATCGTGTCGAAAATCGAGATGGTGAGAGATGAACTTGACGATATCGAAGGTGAGAATGCGTATACGAGGAGAATCGACACAATGTACGACGATGAGGCGAAAGAATTCATTTTTTTTTCTTTTTTCGACGAGACGATTACGAAGAAAGATTAGTTCGTCGATTAAGTTGGGAAAAGACGATTATTATACACATGGTGCCATATTTGTTTGTACCTAAGTTAGCAAACAAGTGTCGCTATTGGGCATGTGATTAAGGGAGATGAAAGAGAGGCAAAAGAAATGGGAATAGTGTGAAAATGATTAAGTTCAAAAAAAAAGGAGTGGGGCCTTATTTGAAACAACTTTGGGAAAGATAGATCTAGCATTCAATTACAACGGTTAGTTGGCGCTAGCCGTTTCTAATCCTAAATCGGAAGATATGTACGTATATTGATTTTTGATTGTCGTCGAATCTATGCTACACTGGGTGAAGTCTACAGCGCGATCTGTCGATCGCCATTTCATCGAGACGCACACTCCACCAACATGGGTGTGTGATGTGTGGTTTTTGTGTGTTACTGAACACAGTTTCGATGTTGTCAGATTTATGCTACACCGAATAAAGTTTACAGCAGGATCTCTCAATCGTCGTTTCGTCGATGGGTGTGTGTGTGTATTTGTGTACGGTGTACTGATTTGTCTTGCTGCAGAAAAAAGCTTTGATCATGTACCAAGAATATCTTCTTTAATTCATCAAGAAGCTAAGAATCATAAAGAGTGATCTCTCTTTATGGCCTTTTTTAAGACACTGATTAGTGATTAGTGATTAGTGAGGGTAATCTTAATTAAAACAAATTTGGAGAATAATTAATTACTAGTAGACATGATTCAACTGTTGTCATGGTCACTAGTTTGACTCTGTCATTTCATTTAAAGCAGTCAAAAAAAGGGTTCCAGCTAGCTCTTATCTATGCTTTTAAATATTTACGGAAAATGCCACATCTCGTGTAAAGTCAAATTACCAAAAAATCATTTTTTTTTATAATTATAACCAATTCTCAACTATCAATTTTCTTACACATACATTTTTATAGTGTTAAATTCAACATAATTTTTTAGATTTTCATAAATGTTCTCTATTTAGTACTCGTTTTGTGTGAAAATACAGTTTCTGATGTACCACAATCTGATATTTATAAAACAAGAAACACATTTTATGATCATCTTGTTTTAATATTTTGGTGTTAGAAGAAGGTAAAACGAGTACAAACTGGAGAATACTCCACATAATTCACAAGATTCCACTAAATTTGATACCGCAAGAATGAACGTGAAAAAAAATTCAGAATTAATGAGTGCTTATAATTACTCAAACAAAGATAGGTTTTTCGTAATTCTAATTTACATCAAAGGTTGCCTTAATTTACTCAAATAATATTTATGTATTTTGGTTGAAAAGGAACATATGTAGCTCTCAAAATTTGTTGTACACATATGGTTTTCACAAAAGTAAAGCGTGTGATTCATTGCAAGTATTTTTCTGATCGCCAGGTGTCACTTGATTACTAGATCATCTTTAGTGACCTCATCTTAAATTATAATAAATAAATAATAAATCGATAAAATGGTCAATTAATAAAAAAGCCAATGAATAAGTAACATGTTAACGGGCTACTTAATAGAGTTGGGCTTGAAATTGTTTGGTCAATTTATAATTCAAGGCCCGTTTACTCTTGACCCAATATATTCTATTGGGTCAATTTTATATTTTTAAAATTAAATTTTAATTTAACATATTCTACATTTTTAGTTATTTATCCGATTAGTGCATTTTAGACTTTAGCTAAATAGTTTTTTTTTTCCTTAATAGATATTTAGACTTTAGTATATTGCTATGCATGAAGAACTTTAACAATTGACGTATGAATTTATTAAATAATAAAATACTTGAGATTAAAGTTTATTATTTTATAATAAACACTATTTTCATGAAATAGGTTATTAGTTTATTAGTTTTTTAATCTATTTATCGAGCCTTTAAAGAGTAAACTTCAAAACTTCAATTGTGTTGGGATTTCATGAATTTGATTGGATTTCTTATTGGCTAAACTTCGTAAAGTATACACTGTTATATCGAACGCATATGTTTCTACGAGTGATCGATTTTTTTATTTTTTAATATTTTTATTTTATGTAGACAGGTACATATTGCTGCATATAGTGCTATACATGTGTTTATTTTGTGTAGACAGGTACATATTGCTGCATATAGTTACTTTAATGTATAATGTGTTTATTGTAATTTACGTAATATGCTAATCATGTCGAAAAATTATCGAAAAGAACTGCTGTTGTATAATATGTAAACTTGTTTGCACCAAGGTTATATAACATAAATTTGATGGTCTTGGATTAAATTAAATATCTAGACAACAATAAAATTAACCGAATCTTGTAGCATTGGTTGAAATTCTTTCCGCACACGAGCTATCGTCCTTTCTCGGCTTGTGTAGCTTTTGTCGGGGCTAATTTCCACGATAAGCTCTTCAAGTGCCGTAGCTTTTCCAACAACGAGCACCCCGAGTTCGACTTCGTTCGGAGACGCTTCGAGTCCCGACAGTTTCACCGTTTTCGGATGATCATCATTTGAGGCCTTGTTCACCACCTTCATACGATAATATCGTTCGTGAAAGCTTGTTGCCGTAAACTGCAAAATTATAACAATATATTAATATACATATATGAATATAATCGATTCCAGTTGATCAATTTTTGGATAATATATAAAATATTAGGATATATAAATTACCTTAATCTCGAGTCTCTGCAAGCACGGACACGCGTCGATGAAACGAACGAGTTCCTGGAAGTCAATAGTTTTCCTGAACAGATGACATTCCAACTCCACATGTTTAACCTTCGCCAATTTCTCACTAATTATATTGCCGCGCGAGAGGATTTCAGTTCCGATCTCGACACAATTAGTGTCCAACTCAACAAGCCTCGGCACATTTTCTATCACGAGGAGACAATAATGCGGAAATTCATCAAACCTCATAGATTCGAGGTTCGTCATGTCTCTAATCTCCATGGTTTTGATACTCCAACACGTACTTATGCTCAAGTGCTTCAACTTTGGCGCCAAATCGCCAGATATACGCACGTCGCTTAATGCATCGTTACGCGAAATCGAGAGGCGCTCGAGAGCGACGGAATTCGAAAGCAGTAGCCTCAATCCCTCGTCGTCGAAATCAACGCCTTGTAGAGATAATTCTTTTAGGGATTCGAAGGCCGGTAAGTTTCTTTCAAAAATACAAGGAGGAATGGGAAAACGAGCCGATGCGTGAACGGAATTTAAGTGTAGGTGGACGGTTCGGACAAATTTTTTGGAAAACGTAAAATCGAGCCATCTCTCGATTGGCCACGTCTCGTCGTCCGACCATGTGTTTATCTGGAACCAAGGTAAGTAGAGTCGAATTTCTTCTAGAGCCGCACCTCCCTTGAGTGAATCCAATGTGCGATCGATTATGCTAGCGCAATTTCTTACGACCTCCTCCTCGAATACTCGATCATCACCTTTTTTGTTGCGGCCACGCTCCTCTTCTTGATCTTTAAATGCTTGTAGTTGTTTGGAGGTTGGAGAAAATCGAGGCGGGTGATGTACTTGTGGAGCCCACGCCAACGTGTGGATAGGACGCTCGTGCACACAGCTTCGGCCACCGTCAGCCGTGAGATTATAGATACGAGAATATCGTCCGGCAGCTGACTGATCTTGTCCACCCCATCATCATCATTATCAATATTATTAATAATGTTACAATTACTTCCTGCTACTATTTTTTCCTGGAGAAACAAATTAAACATATATATATATGAGTTATACATATATATACATAATAAAAAAAAAAATTGAGGATATAATACCGATTAGAAAATAAATAGGATGTTGAAGATGCTACGTACGAACTATAACATGCTCCGATGCAATGAAAAATATAACAAAAAAAAAATATAAACAAGAGAGATTTAATTAATAATTACCTTAAGTAGATTTTTATCTTTATTAATCTTCATGTACTTCTCGTCGATCTACTGTTCGTCATCTCTAATTAATTTATCAAACCAAGCAAAATACAGAGCCTTTTTCAATCTGTAGTATGGATATTTATAATATATACAATGACATATACATATATATAGAGAGAGATAGATACAAGGTAGGTTTCATATAATCTAAACAGAATCACATTAGAACTAGGTTTTATGTATATTTTACCATAAATAATAATATAATAAAGACAAATTTGCTGCGTAATTAGGATACGCATCTATTTTCCTAATACTAATTAATAAGGTAAATTCGAATATTAAATTATATTATATTACATAACATATAATTAAAAGATATGCCTTTTTGGGGTAATTTAATTAATATTAATTTAATTAGATAAAGTGCCTTTTTGGTTGCGGTTGCTGATAGAGATCTGAACCACACTACGATGCAAGTGTTTTTTTTTTGATTGGGAAGGTGATTTTCTGTGTAGAGAAGTTTTGTGTGCGATTGCGTATTTGTTTGTATTTTATACAGATCTCTTTTCATTTCATGTATGTATATGTGTTGCCTTGTGTGTGTATGTATGTATGTATATGTGTTTTTGTGTATCATGTATCAATTATCACAGCTCTCTTTCGAAACCATTAACACTCTTCTGGTTTGGTTTATTGTTTTTGTGATTTGTGAATAGATGCCTCTGTTTATGTTATTGGTGTTTCTCTGTGTTTTGAATTGAAGAGTAATAATGTGTTCCGAAAAGATTTTTCGTAATTGTTTCGATTATTTTGATGACTACTGTTATTTTCATTTTAGGTTGCTATCTCGGCTGAGATAACCTCTAAGAAGTTATGCCGGATGATAATAGATCAGCTCGTCAAATCCTTTAACGCTTCACATTTGGGCAAGAGACAATTGGCTTACGATGGAAGGAAGAATTGCTACACTGCAGGGCCAGCAAATTTTGGAGTTCACGAAATGGTTCATCAACCCACAGGAGGTTGAATAAAACGTCGAGAGCTGACCGTGATGCCAGCTGGCGGAAAACTACCTAGACAACTCCGGATGCAAATCAATCTTTTTTTTTTCGAACAATGCTTGGTTAAATATTTATTATTCAGTGATATTGCTTTTTTAATTTGTTTTCTTGACATTTAAACTGAAACTGAAATTTTAATTATGTATTTTAATGAAAGAAATAAAATATTCGGGTCAATGATCTTAATGTAAGACATCTTTTTGCCTTGCTTAATAAAACCTGTCCTAGTAGAAACTCCCCCAACATTGATTCGTAAAAGAAATAATATCTAGAACCTCTCGTTCATACTTTTGATTTCTTTCGTGCCAAAAATCGTTCCTTTGCTGCAGCCACTGCATCCTCACTTCTTTTATGATGGTCCTTTGCTTCAACCACTGCATCGTTGCTCTTTTTCTGATCGCCAGGTGTCACTTGATTACTAGCTGATGGCTCCTCTTTTGTGACCTTATCTTGTGGGTAAGTTTCAGACAAACGGTCAGATTTTTCCTTGGGAGGAATATTCTCGGGAACCTCGTCTCGATCCCACTTCACTGTTCTAGATGTTTCCGGACTAGCAACAGTTGGTGGTGGAGAGACTTGTTGTGGCGGCTGAGCCGCGAACTCCTCAGCCTGCTTTTCGGTTTTCGACGAGTCACCATCTCTAGCACCAAAAGCTACGTTCTTGCCCAGGTTGAAGTAGAAATCGGTTAGGTCCGTCTTCTTTGTGACCTATTAAA